GAATGGGGCTTTGTGGACCTATTTAATATAGGATCTGAGGGAGAAAGAAAATCCAGAAGTGTAATAAATTTTCTGACCTGGCCACTAGGTGACTGGTGATCCTGTAGGCCCAAATAGTGAACATTAAAATATTGCAGAAACAGAACAACAGAAATAGAAATCATGAGTAGAAGGCTTATCATGAATGTGCCCACCCTGAGACCATGTTAAAATTCATATTATTGTAGCACCATTCTTGCTTTTTCTCCTTATAGACCTTCATCGGTCATTTTCAATTTTCTATAAATCAATTAAGTTCTCCCATACTAATGTTGTAGGTGTCAACTTCCTTTTCCTCCTTTTTCCTTTGAAACTAAGAGTGAAAAAGCTAACATCTCTTTTGCTTTGAGCAATATCTCACTATATTTGGCACATTTAAGCTGTTGTTGCACTTAAATGTTAAATTCTATTTCTGGTTTTCCTTTTCTTTTATAGATATATCTATATTTCATCCACCAAAGAAAATAATACTATATTTTAAAGAAAATGTAACCTATGTTCATATGGAATTTTTTGACTTTTTGATTGTTGTTCCTTCATAGTGAGGCTAGCTCATGCTTGTTTATTTGTTTTTTTCTCCAGAACTGGTATACAGACCATTGAATGTCTATGTGGATCTCAGGAATTTGTTTTAACCGATACATAATAATTGTACATATTTTTGGGATACATGCAATATTTTGATAGATGTATCCAATGTGTAATGATAAAATTAGGATAGTCATCATATCATATATCTACATTTCTTTCTGTTGGGAACATTCCTAATATCTCTTATAGTTATTGTGATATATACAGTAAGTTGTTAACTATTATCACCCTACTATGCTATGGGATGCTAGAACTTATTTATTTTATCTAACTGCATTTTTGTACCCATTAACCAACTCTCTTCATTCTTTCTCCTCTCTACCCTTCCCAGTTTCTGGTAACTATTATTCTACTTTTTACCTTTATGATATCAACTTTTCTAGCTCTCACATGTGAGTGAGAGCATGTGATATTTGTCTTTCTATGCCTGACTTATTTCACTTAACATAATGTCCTTCAGTTCCCTTCATATTGCTGCAACTGACAGAATTTCATTCCTTTTATCCCATTGTGTATATGTATCACCTTTTCTTTATCCATTCATCTGTTGATGGACGCTTAGGTTGCTTTCATATCTTGTGAATAGTGCTGCAGTAAACACGGGAGTGCAGATATCTCTTTGATATACTCATTTCATTTTGGGGGGTATATATGCCCAGCAGTGGCAATGCTGGATCATATGGTAAACTCATTTTAACTTTTTTGAGGAATCTCTATACTGTTTTCCATAGCATCTGTATCCATTTACATTCTCACCAACATTGTACTAACATTCTTCTTTCTCTACATTCAGGATTTTTTAATCAACTTTTTCCTCTACCTATATTATTTCTTTGATAATTTTGCTCTAGGAAAAAATAATACTGTTAAATCAACTTTTAAAAGATTAAACTTAACACTATTTCTAGAAACTGACCATAAACAAATTTGCATAAAGTATTTAAGAATATTTTTAGTATTTTGGCATTGGTTTCCCATTATTATTACCATTAAGAGACAAAACAGAGAAGTGATGTGTTACAACACTTGCATTATGGTTGAGATGTGTTTTTTTACTCTTTCTAGCGTTGGCTGTAGCTAGAAAGAATTCTTCATTTGTAGGCATGTTCGTCAACAGTAGAATTAATTCCATTTCATATTAATCTCCTACAGGCTGCCCACTGATACTTTAAAAGATATAAATCTAATTTCCTTGCCCTTCCTCCCTCAGCTTATTCTGCCAACCACTTATCGTAAGCTTAGCTAGCAGACTTTGCTAGTTCAGATACAACATTGACTTCACTCAGTATCCATTAATTTTTACTTCTGACAGAATAAACATATGGTCCTAATGCTCTATGAAATCAGACTTTGGAACCAGATTCTGTTATAAATTTCATTGCTTATTACCTTTATGTGATGTTACATTATATACATCACTTAGCCGGCATAAAAAGCTACATAGTGGAACAGATATATGAGTATTTTAACTTTTACATTTTCTTTTCTTCTTCTGTAAACATGGAATTCAAATAGTCATATATATGGTTTATAGCTTTTCATATATACGTGTATGTGTTACTGACTACAATGTTTTTATTCATATTTAATGTTTGTAATTAGGACAAAGATGAATGAATACATATTCACATTTTATTTAATGCAGGCATTAACAGAGGAAGGCCTGGGAGTTAAACTCAAGCCAACTACCTCAGAATGATCTTTATATTTTTAGGAAGAACAATAAAACAAAGAACAATATTTTGTCACATGTGGAAATCTTATGAAATTCAAATTTTAGTATCCATAAGTAAAATTGTATTGGAATATAACCACACTCATTTATATATTGTCTGTCTGCCTTCATGCTACAGCAGCAAAGCTGAGTAGTTGCAAAGGACACCACTTAGCCTCAAGTATTTACTATCTGCTTCTTTAAAGAAAGGGTTTTCTTGAGACCAGCCTGGACAAATTGGAGAGACCTCATCTCTAAAATAAATAATAAAAAAAAAAATAGCCGGGCATGGTGGTGCACATCTGTAGTCCTAGCTACATGGAAGGCTGAGGTGGAAGGATTGCCTGAGCGCAGCAGGTCGAGGCTGTGGTGGCCGTGAATGAGCCAGTGCACTCCAGCCTGGGAAAGAGAGTGAAATTTTGACTCAGAAAAAAAAAAAAAAAGAAAGAAAAAAAATGAAAAAAGAAAGAAAGAGTTTACTGATTCCTGGCCTAATGAAAAGCTATTTTCTGTTTTGTATATTAAAGAGTTTATGGAATCAAACAGATAATAGCAACAATTATTTATTTTTCCTAAAAATGATACAGGGAATTTATCTACTTCATGTTTAGTGTTAAAGTACACTTGTCCATTACCTGAACAAAGTTGTCTTTTTGTGCTGCGTTTCAAAAGAGTCTGAAATAATTTTTTTCCTCCATTTTCCATTATCTATTTATTTAATTTGTTTTCATGAAGGTAATTGTATAATAGGAATAGTTGACATAGAAGTAAGAAAAATTCCCTGGGTCCAAAATTTAATTATTATCTTGTTTCCTAGGCTAACATTAAACAAAAGTTATTTGAAGTAATCATAAAAGACAGGATGCTCTAAGATGGGCTTCTTTGGCCTCTAGTGTGCCTACATTTTCATTAATGGTTGAAGATAATTAAACTGGAAGGTGGCATGTTAGCACACACTGCCTTTGAAATAAATTATTTTGCTCTTTCATTTTTTTCTTTCATATTTCATATTAGACATAACCAAAGTAGGTTCGCTTATAGAACATTATTTGTGTAAAGTGTGACGAAATCCCTGAAAAGACAAAGCACAAAAAATGTCCTGGAAAGTCCTGTGCTTCTTCAATATTTTACTTTATTCCAGATGCAAGATTGGAATTCTACATTTATACTTAATCATTTGAAGCAATTAGAAAAAGTTATGGGTATTTCAGATTATATTTCAAAACATTTAATGACAGAATGCTTCATTTGCCACAAATCATTTGTGGGACGCTATGAGGAATTTGTTCATTAACTCCTCAGATATTTATCGAATGACTACTGTGCGCCAGACACTGATCCTGGCACTGGGGGCACATCAGTGAACCAAACAAGATTCTTGCCCTGTGGAGCTTCCTTCTGGTGGGAGGAAACAGATAAGAAGCAATGCATAAAATAAATGAGGAAATGGCATAGCATTTCAGAAAATAATAATTGAAATGGAAAAAAAAATCAGAACGAGGTGAGGGAAATCAAGGCTACCAGAGTAAGAGTTGCAAAATTAAAAGGGCAGTGAAGGCCTTCTTGAGAAGGTGAAGCTAATGTAAGAACTTGAATATACACGAAGCTAACCAGGGAGAAGAAGTATACATGCTAACCAGGGAGAAGAAGTAGTGAGAGCAAGGGCTCTAAGGTGGGGACAAGTCTAATTGTTCCTGAAACAGCAAAGAGACATCATGACCAGAACAAGAAGAGTAATAGGAAAGTAGTTAGAAAGGTAATGGGGCCAAGTTACATAAAACCTTGTAACCACTGTGGGGATATTTCACTCTTGGCGATAGGGAAAACATAGAGGCTCTTTTTGCAGGAAGGGTGACATATTTAAGTATACTTGTTAAAAAGTCCACTCTGTTGCTTTTGCTACTTTGTTGTAGAGGAGCAAGGGCAGAAGCAGGGGGAATAGCTGTGAGGATACTGCAGTAATCCCAGCCAGAGATGGTGGTGGTTTGGACAAGGATCAATGATGGAATCAGTGAGAGCAGGTGCACTGGGATCTATTTGGAGACAATGTATGGGATTTCCTGGCGGATGAGACATGGGAATGAAAAAAAAGAGTATTTTGATTGTTTTTATTTGTTTATTGCCTGGGTAACCTCCATCAGTCAAGAATGAAGGTTTTGGGGGGATGATTAGAAGCCCAACTTGAAGTATCTTGAGTTTAAGACATTTGTTCAAATAAGATCAACTAAGATTCCAGTGTCTGCCTCCTAGAAGATGTTAAAAATTATTGTATGAATATTTAAGGGATAAACTATATTAAGTACTACTGTAGTATGAATTTGTGTGAATTAATGAGTGAACATTCATTGAGCAGCTAGTACTCAGTGAATGGCAGGCACCAGGCTGCGTCCTATCATCTAGGTGGTCTAACAAAATCCTTGTTAGAACCACGTGAGAAAAATAGAATTGTCTGCATTTTACAGAAGAAGAAACTTAGGACAAGTGACTTGACTGAAGTCCAAATGGTTAGTAAGTAGCTCCATTTTTTAGATTCAAACTCATGTTTTACAACTTTAAATATAAGCTCTTTTTAAAAATTTTATCAGTGATCTCACAAAACAAATATTAGTGCACTTGATGGGCAGCTGTTTGTTTAACATATGATTTTTATCTTCAGATTACAACACAAGTGAACAAAAACAAGCCTGTAAGAAGCATGAACTCTACGTGAGTTTCCGGGATCTGGGATGGCAGGTAAGAATGTTCAGTTACCTTACGTACTTCTTTTCTGCTTTGTAATAAATCCTTAGTGAGTCATAATCTTTGTCTGTAATATTCCCAATAAAATAACCAGTGATTTTAAACATACTATATGGATTATCCACATTATTTTAACTTTTCCATTATTCCTTTAGCACTAAAACATAATTAGTAGGTTTTACAGTAAAAAACAATTGTGCTGAAGAGAAATCCTATGATATTCAGGAAGAGAAAAAGTGCTGTTGTTTAAGTAGCCCAAACTTTTAATTTTATTACAAATAGAAGATTTGTTCAGACTAGTAAAAGCAACTTTCTTAGTTCTCTTAGGCTCCCAAACTATATTTCTAGGAAGTAGAACTCTCAGTTATAAAATAATAATAATAATAATAATAATAATAATAATGTCTATGTTATGGAATAGATATACAGAAAACTTTTCATAAATTTAAAAATGGTTTTGTTGTCTTTTAGATAATTTTTACAAACAGAGTGAAGAAGAAAATTTAACCAAAATATTTTTGTGGTGACAGTTTAAACATTTTCTACATTTCTTCTCCTATCCCAATACAATGGATTCTCGTATATGAGATATTTTATTGAGAAATAATATTAATATGTTCAAATTTTATGATAGACTTCAACGTGGATAATTTAATAATACTTACATTTGTACCAGGTTTTATTTCTCTGGGTGGATGGGATCAAGGCAATCAATCCATGTACCAACTTTTTAGCTTCCTAAAATTTTTCATGTATGGTTTTTAGGAATTCGCTTCAACTTGTTGCTTTTACAAAGACTATAAGGTTAATGCACAGATGGAAAGAAAAACGACACATGGAACAAATAGTAAAGCTTTAGGAGACTGTCAGACTTCTAAAACCAAGAATGAGTTATGAAGGAGTAACGAGAATTATCTCAATTAAGTTTATTCTCCTTTTCCTTTCTGGTTCACTTGAACTTTCCAGAGTTCATCATTTCCTGTTTAAACAATATTTAGAATGCTATTTCATGATTATGGTTTTATTTGTGAATACATGGACTAATACACACAATGAATGTTATACATAGCAGCCTCTCAGGAGAAATTAGAGAGGACAGTTTCTTGTGAAAATATTTATACTCTTGTTGTAAACTTCAATTTAAGATTATATAAAAGGGTGTGGAGGCTATCTTATTAAGGTCCTGCTAAAATAATTATCCTATTATAATAATTGCAGGAACAAGAATGAAAACCTATTCAGATAAAATATATTTCAGTATTCTTTTAGAGTTATTTTTCTTCATTTTTATTTTGATGATATTCTTTTCCTTCTCTGTCTTTTAGGACTGGATTATAGCACCAGAAGGATATGCTGCATTTTATTGTGACGGAGAATGTTCTTTTCCACTCAATGCCCATATGAATGCCACCAACCATGCCATCGTTCAGACTCTGGTATGCTTTGTTTTTGCAATCTTGAAAATGGTTTAGTATGCAGACACAATATAATGTTGTTTTAAAGGAAAGCATCCATTTATAATTACCAAGACATTGTTTTCTTTTCTCAAACTCCTTGGTTACTTTTTAGAACCAAAGTAATATTTGTGGATATAGTCAGGAAATTCAGGCTGGTTTAAAGAGTAATCTGGATGCCAGAATGGGGAAGGATTCAGCTAGGAAAATTGGAGTAATCACATAAAATGGTCATTCTGCACTGATTTCTTCACTACACAATATGACTAAGCACAGGTTCCCAGGGGCTGTTTCTAGCCTAGCAATTCATTAGTAATCATTACAAAAACATTGAATAATAGCTGTGCTAAATTTCTTCTGAGGGCTTTTCCCCTAATTGTCTAAGAATGTTCCATAACATTCTTTGGTATTATAAAACTTCTTCAATTTAGTATAAAAGTAAGAAACTAATTTCTGTTTCATAATTATTGTTCTCTTCTTCTTCTTCTACCTCTTCCTCCTCCTCTTGTCTCTCTTCCTCCTCCTCCTTTAATGTGAAAATGATACTTCCTTTTCTCTCTTCAACACTCCCAGAAATTCATCAGTGATTAAATCTCCAATAACCTAGGTTTATTTTTGTGAATGAGATAGTGAACTGTTGACTTGATGGTCTTCAACTAGTTGTACTATGTCTAATGAGCTCATGAAGCCTCTTGAGAGTCTGATGTACTTCATGGAGAGTGGTTTATTGGTATGGCAGAGGGACAATCTGGAAGGCTAAATGAGAGACTCTAAGAATATATACTAGTCAATGTGATCTAATTCAAAATTAATGGTTGGGTTAATATGAAAATTTTAACTTTTTGTATTTAAGAGGAAAGGAAGGGAACAATTTATTTTAGGATCAAGACAATGATGGAAATGGAGTTGTTTTGGTGGATGGCAGTAAGAGAGCAGTAGATATTACAAGAAAACTATCCTTGTGGGTGGATTTATTTGTGAAGTTTTGACTCGCTAGAAGTTTGTTTCTCATAATTAATTTGAAATGTAAAGCTGGTGGAAAGAGTATTCCAGTTTCCTTCTGAAAAAGAAATTATAAATACACACACACACACACACACACACACACACACTTGAATTACTTGATGTTTAACTGACATCTTTATTAACTTAATATGATGCCATAGAATAGCTAGACATAAAAAAATGCACATCCATGGAAATCAGAGCATGAACATTATCAAAGCCTTTGGAAATAATCTTGGGATAGAGAAAAATGAAACAGAACAAATATCCATTTTGATAGGTAGTGATTTATATCCTTCTTTTTGCCTCTCTCACAACCAATGAGATAGTCTACTTCACTGCCCTATACAAAGTGTAGACTAAGTTTCTAGGGGGATGTTAAAGTGCTATATGCTTTCTTCACCTTTGCCATCTGTAAATATAAGCACTTCTTGATAAAGAATAACATTTCTGGAACAATGGCGGTAGTCTCTGCAAGGATGAGTGTGCTGTATTCAGATTTCCACCCATAAAAAGACTATGATTTAGCTTTCCTCCTTGTCGATGAGCATTCATTTGACATAAAAACTCATCAGATAGAGACGAATGCTACTGTTTTATTCTTTGAAGGGACCTTCATGATCTCTTTCTGCAGGGTCTCAGAGGAACACAGTCTATTAGCTTATAAAGTAATGCCACTTGATTTCTCAGAAAGTTCTTTGCCTCTTTTTATTGTCTTTTCATTGACTAAGAAAATAGAGTGTCACTTTCTTAGATATGTATCTAGTGTATCAGAGTTTCCCTCTGGCTACGCAATGCTTACTTATTGAAAAATACCCGTTGTGAAATACACCCGCCTTCTCTCATGTTCCTTTCTTTTTTTCTTGTAAAATATATAATTACATATTGTCAGCTCTGATGGCTGTAGTCTAGAAGGCAGTATTGAAAAACAAACATTAAAAAAAATAATCTGACACAAACTTGGAACAAGACACTGCTCTGAATCTCTGCCCTGGGATATAGGACATAAGTCATTGCAAAACTGGAGCATACATGGGAAATTTGACTTTTTTTTTTCCTGGCATTGTGTGCACTGTATGTCTGTGCTGTGAAGGACATGAAACAAGAAGACAGGCGTGTTTGTTGTTAAAGGAAAGCAAGCTTGTGACTAATATACTAGAGAAACGCTTCAAGACCAATCCACTTTTCCACAAGGCTGCCAAGGCCATTGAAACAGAGGGGTTATCAATCATGTATGTGTGGGTTATGGAAGATAAAACTGATGAGGGACACAAGCTGCATCTGAAATTTGTAGAAACTATCCAACTTTTAGTTTTGTGAGGTCTTAGAAAATTTCAAGTACATGTCAGATCACCTCATTTTTCCTGCTGTTTCTGTCCACATGCAGGGCTCTTATATCATTTCAGCCAGGACATTATGCAGCCAAAACTCTTAGAGGCTGTATTTGCTTTTTTGTAGATCCCCCAAGACTCATCAATGGGACTTCCCATAAACTCCTCTGGGGAAAGGGCCAGAGTAGGTGGGTGGAAAAGGGGGGAACTGTATTCTGGTCTTTGTTCAATGATTACAAGACATAGGCAGACTGCCAGTCTGAGCAAAGTGAGCATCAACCCTTTACTTAAGCATTTCCCTTTTCATGCACAGCCACCTTTTTCAGTTTTTGGGGAGATGGATATTCAATTTGTAAGGCATCTATGCCATTTCCTTCTGATTTAGCTTAGCCTGCTTTTTGGCACTTGTCTACGGAGTGGGCAGGGGAGAAAGAAAGTAAATGGATGTTAAACTCCAGCCAATGTGGTTAAAAACTCTATGGAGAAGAGTTAAAATTGTTACTTTTAAGCAATTATTGGATTGTATTTGGATTCCACTTCATTATGATTTTTATGTTTCTTTATCATGGAACATTAAGAGTTGGCATAATATTGATGATTTATTGTTTAATTATCCTTTTAAAGGACAATTCTTGATCCATATCTTTCTATAGTCCAACCGTGTGTCTTTAGTGATTTGTACTTATAACTTCTGTATTTCTATTTCTCATGATGTAAACGGAAGTAGTCATTTCAGCTAAAGCAATTCAGTTCTACTTGCCATGTTCTTTCCCCAGGAAAGTTTCTATTGAATACTTTGTAGATACAGTTTTCCTTATTTGGAGGAATATTTTTCAAGGCCCCAACACATAATTAGAACAGGTGGGTTGATTCTGGGTGTTAATGCTTCAGAATACAATCTTCACTATCAGTCCCACCCCAATCCAGTCATCAAACATACAGGAAAAAAGGTGGGCAGCTAAGGGTGTGCCTTATTATGAGTGATACAACAAGCAGGTTATTATAATTTCTGTATATGTGTGAGAAAGCAGGATTTATTGGGCGGACAGAAAAACTCCCACAGTGGGAGGGGATCTGAAGGGGTTGCCCAACAAGCATGTTATTTTAAAGCTGCAAATAAAAATGTTTATTTTATTTATTTTAAAAGAGCAAAACTTATTTTTTTCTTTTCCAGGTTCATCTGATGTTTCCTGACCACGTACCAAAGCCTTGCTGTGCTCCAACCAAGTTAAATGCCATCTCTGTTCTGTACTTTGATGACAGCTCCAATGTCATTTTGAAAAAATATAGAAATATGGTAGTACGTTCATGTGGCTGCCACTAATATTAAATAATATTGATAATAACAGATCTGTATTAAGGTTTATGACTGCAATAAAAAGCATACTTTCAGACAAAGGGGGAATTTCCTAAGATTAGTCTGGCTCATTTCATCTCTTTTCCAATGTACAGTATCATGTATATAATCATTTTTATTTATTTAAAGGTATATATTCTCTTTTGTGGATGCCTTATTAATAAAATATATTTTATATAGTCCACTACATTATGAAATATATCACCCAGTCTAATTTTCAAGGAGATATTCTGAATCCAATTCAATTCCATTTCAGTACTTTTTCTAATATAATTTTTTAATAATTTTCTCAGATTAGACAGACTCTTTTAACTGTTTAACATTGTTGAAAAAAATTGAACACATTTGGTTATATTATACCAATGAAAACAATAATAGGATATTTATTTAGAAATAAGACTTAAAAAAAAAAACAACATCCCAAACAAACTACTCTCTTTTAGAGTTTCTGCTTCATTAGATAAAGTGAAATGTTGAACTGGATTTGAATAAACAAATAGTAGGCAGAACATAGAAACTGAAAAATTGCACATAATTGTTGTAACTGTTTGCTTTAACAGAATTGGTTTGACTGTAGGAGCATGTTCCTTTTTGGCTTGTGGATTGTAGAGTTTGCAAAAAGCTCAAAGCTTCAGGAATTCTGTGGAGACAGGCTTGAGCCTCTGTCCATAACTTTCCAAGTTAACACTAAAATATTGTAGTACAACCTTCTTACCTCAAATAAATCATGTCTGCCTGTTATCTAGAACACTACTGCTGCAGATTTTTTTTTCAGATTTAAAATCCTAGTCCAAAAATAAAGAAACATTTATTTGTGCTCCACTCTCCTCCCTACAGACAAGAGTCACTACATGCATACAACGTATTGGAGCAGAAGATGCCGACAAAGCCATTTTCTTTAGCTCTCTTTTATAACTGCCTTTGCTGATTGATGTGATGCAAGGGATTTGATCTGGGGGTAAAAGCACTGAAACTAAACTGGAGGAAATTACCAAAATCCCAGAATGGCTTTGACAGAATTGCCATTTCTTAAGAACAGCTGAAATCCATTTTTCATATCTTTGAGAACGAGCTCAATGAAAACCTTATTTTGTAAAGGGATTTTGTAAACCTTCCTTCAAGCACAGATAATTCCAAATGGGAAGGTTCTGGTTGTGTGTGTGTGTGTGTGTGTGTGTGTGTGTGTGTGTGTGTGTGCACGTGTTCTTCCCTCTGAAATTAATTTATTTTCTCTCTCTGTTGGACTGCCTTCTAAGCCCCCCCCTTTTTTAAAACACACATTGAATTTTTGTAGAATGACCTTTTTGTTGGTAACCTGTTTATGGTGGCTCTATGGTTAGGCTTATTTACAGTTCATCTACAATATTCACAAAACATAGCCAGGCGTGGTTGTGCACACCTATGGTTCCAGATACTTGGAAGGCTGAAGCGGAAAGAATGCCTGAGCCCAGCAGGTCGAGGCTGCTGTGGCCGTGAGCATGCCACTGCATTCCAGACTGGGCAACAGAGTGAGACTCTAACTCAAAAAATAAAAATAAAGCAATAAAATAAAATAAAATAAAATAAATCTTCACAAAACACCATTTATTAATCTTCTTGGATCTTTCAAATAAAACTTTTATCAGAAGTATCTTCAACAATGTTATGGGTTTGCTTGTAATTCAGGTATATTGCAATGCTGTTTTGAAATACAGTTTATCTTAAAGAAAATTTGACAATATATTGAGGGCTACATTAAGTAATATATTTTTAATTAATGGTGAACCATTGAGAGAATAAGAAATAGAAGTCTATTATGTTATTGTTTAAATGTGCTGTTTAAATATATGTCTATGTTTTAAAATATATTAAACTTGAGATGATAGTTTCTGCTGTTCTTCTTGATTTGGTTCTTTATTTAAGAGGAATACAGAATGTAAGTATGTCACAAATTAAGACTATGAGAATATTTACAAAATGTAAAATGTTTGTGGCTCACATGATTCTTTATATTGTTTTTAATTACCAAAACTGTTTTTGTTATATTAATATTCTGACTATTAAATATGCAAAGCAACAATCCCTGAATTAAATATTTTCTTACTCTGTTCAAACGATATGAAAATTTTTAAGCAGTAAAAAAAAAAATCAGGATGGGAAAATACCATACTTTTTCATATAAGAAGGGCGATCATCGACATCCATGTTTTTGTATATTCTAATAGTATATACATACATATGAATATATGCATATATATTGAGTCATATTATTTTCAAATAACTATTGTAGTAAATTCCTAGTATTACTTTGGAAATAGTCAAGATATTGCTAGGAATCATAATAATGTGACTTATTTTAACAGGTCTTATCCTGGTCCTTTTTTGCTAGCTTTTTTGTTTGTGTGTGTTTATTTTTAATTTTTCTGCTTTATTTTTATTTTTGCTTTTTAAAGTGACTCTGATCCCTTTCGGACATAGAAGGGCATAAATCATAAATACTCAATTTCTTTGAAATAAAGGGAAAAAGAAATAGTCTATATTAAACTAAAGAAATGAAGAAAACCCAAAAGAAAATCCAAAATTATTTTTTCTCAACTAAAAATTGTTCTTTTATAACCCTTGTACTACCATCATCAAATCTGAGCCAGAGTCTACTGGTCACTTTACCGTTTGGCAAATATAGTCTCCCAAGACATTTACAATGAATTAGCTTATGCTGCAGTTCCATGCAAGGCCGAAGAAATCTTCATTCTCAAACACTGGTAACTGTCTCACAGCCACTCAGTCAAGTGCCCAGTCTATGATCTAATTTCCATCTCAGACTACCTGTTTTTCTGTGTTTTCCCTTAAACTTTTGTATTTTGGTCTGGAGTTTTTTAAAATTAGAATAGAAGATGCCTTTGCTGGTTATATATATACATATATATATATATTTTAGTTATTATATTGGCATACATTTGTATCTTATCAAGTTTGGTTAAGATCATAATTGAAAAGAAAGTATGAAAATTAACAATCAATGTCAATACTCATTTAAGTGAAAATGATGCTTTAGCAAAGGTTCTGCAAAATTTAAAAAGTCTATTGTGATATTTGTTAAAGGCTTTTTGAAAGACAGGTATTTCAAAGACAGGAAAAATCAGATCAGATGTAGCCTTTAAAAATTACAATGAAGTTTCAAAATTTTAAAAACATTTAACTTAACATATGCATCTTAGTTTCAACTTCACTGAGGTAGGCAGCTTAAAATCAGTTTGGAAATGTCAGTGTTTGTATACAGTGAGGAGAGGATGGGCAGATGCACTACAGCTCAAATTCTGCAACTTATATACAAGAGAATAAGAAAGAGAATACCACACGTAGAGCCTCAAGACTCAGCCCGCCTGGAAATGGAAGCTAAACTTATGGTGTACTGAGATGTGAGCGGTTTGCTTTTGTGTTTTTCAGTTTATTGTATATACTCCTACATACTGAAATATGGCTGATCCTATTTAAAAAGCTGGCTTGCATTTATTTTCTTGCTGGTGCCTATAGAAAAAAGCCCACAGTAGAAGAACAATTTTCTAACTTGAGCCAAAAGACCGGTAAGATAACTTAGACTAAATATTGTTGTACTTTCTTCAATAAACTCACACAAACACACATATAAACACACACACACACACACACACACACACACACACACACTCACACACACACACACATTAAATGCCTTCTAAGATTGTAAAACACAAAAAGAATTTGTCAAAGGCAGGAAATAAAGCCAGGAAAGTCAGAGTTCTGAGTGCAGGGGAGTAAATGAATATGGATCTCACAGGCTGCTTCAGTAGCATTTTTGGATTCCTTGCTGCATGATACTTTGATTCCAGTGATTATGCCCTGAGGGCAAGAGAAAAAGCTTTAGGCCTATGCAAGGCAGGAGCTGAGATCAGATTGAAGACCACTACATTAATCAGAAAAATAGGAAGGGTCAGACACCAAGGAAGTTTGTCTTGGCACTGGGTTAAAGGAGAAATATAATACTGGAAATTGGTGGCTGGGACAGGCTTCATATGGACATGTGACCAGAAATCACACTATGTATGGCACCTATACATACACATATACTGCTATGGACTCATGACATTAATACAACTTTTAAAAGTCCCTGATGTGATTGGTGAGGTTGAAAAAGCATTTGGAAGAAGCAATTACAAATTCTCTCTGTTGGTAGTGTACCTTCAACTCAGCCCTTAAGGAACTCCCACAGAAAACATGCCAAGAAATATAAGCTCAGACAAAAATAAATAAATAAATAAACAAGCAAAACAACAACAACAACAAATTACAAAACAAATGCACAAAGAAAGGAACATAAGAATTAAAGGAAATAAAAAAGGGTAGCACTAAACTCATAAAGGCCCTGTTTATTGAATTATTGGATATAGGATAATAGGTATATTTTATGTGATTTTTTGAAAAACAGAATAAAAGCATGAATAAGTATACAAATATTTGTAATTAGCCAATAGAACATTTAAGAAGGAAAATCTTTAAATTTTATTGAATGTGATAAGTAGTGGGTTTAGATTTCACGAACAAGAGAAATAGTGAGCTGGAAAATATAGCTAAAGATATTATCCAGAAGACAGTGTTGAGCCAGATAAACAGGTGGAAAATCAAACAGAGAGCTGAAAGTACATGGGGATTAAAGGGAATTCTAACATTCATCTAATCAGTGTTCTAGAAAATTCAGGGAAATTTTTAACCTAATCATCGACCTCTCAATCAAAGCTAGTCTCTCAACTTCAAAGTCAGTCAACTTGCAATTACTATCTTCATATTGCTTAGGAAAAATAACTGTCGTTTAAAATTCTATATTTGGCAAAACCATCTTTCAAAAATTTGGGCAAAATAAAAACATTTTCAACCAAATAAAATGAAAATTGAAAGAACATTTACCATTAATAGCAAAGCCGCTGGTAATGGTTATACTTCAGAAAGAAAAAAAATTAATTTCAAAAGAAAATCATTGTAAAAAAAATGAGCAACAAAATAGTAAACATGGAGTACATTAAAGTAAACAATATTGTCTAAA